TTTCCCCCCGTGTGTTTTATAATGACTATGGCTGTTATGGCGATAAACAAATGCCACCATTACTATAACTAATGATTAACGGCTGGTTTAACATTGTACCAGGCCCAACCCAATGAATTTTCATAAATACAGACGCAGAAATAAAGGCATATTTGTCTCTATATCTGATAGATATACATTTAACTATCTATTTGCCCGGATGATATGCACGTGTAGCCAGATAAATATGCATTTATTTCTTTAATTATGCATATGAAGTATTCGAATATTCTTTGGGTCGGGCCTCGCACAATTCTAACAAACCGGCCGTAAAAATATAGTAATGATTATGATATTGGTACCGATATGGAAATCACAAATTTGATAATAATGATTCTGATCAGGCAAAAGTAACAACGATAATAATATAACGATAAGGAATTCTGTAATGGTTTTAGACTACATATCTGTTGTTACTCTACCATTAAAAGTAATCAAATCAACAATGATATGGAATATACATCATTGATAACAATAATATTCAATCTCTCCCCCTCTCTCATGCTGTTATCCGTTGACGTTGGCTGTTTTTGACCTTCAGTATAAAATGATTTTAATTCTTGCATGGTGACATAAGAGAATGGAAGATAAGCATCGTGGAAACGTAATTGAATAAGTAACAAACATATCAAATGAAGGTTAAGATTCCCTACACATGTAACACAGTAAGAATTAAAGCCCACAAATAGATTTTCACTATGGTTATAACACCAGTAAGAGAGAGAGAGAGAGAGACTGGAGAAGTGTAAAGAAAAAGAGATGTAGAGAAAGAGGGGAATGGAGAGACATTCCCAAACACATATTCATGTTGCTGAAAAGGACACAATATTGGAAATGAAAGTGCACAGATATTTGAAACTTAAATTATAGCAAAACTAAAAGAAGATTTTCAAGTGGGACAACAAGCAGATGGGGATTTCAAATATGTAGAACTGGAAGTTGGTCAGGATGAAGAGGGCGTCATTATGAGCCAAAATTAACACATTAAAAGTATGTCATGTTCCATTATCTACAAATAGAACTTTGCATTAATATGATGAGTTATGTACAGGAAATAAAGAACTTGGCTAAGCACACACATTAGACTTGATACAAGTTATCAAGTACTTAAGCTAAGCTTATAAGTTATCCCATAATAGAATATTTAATTATGTAACATGAAATATCTACATTTAGGTAGAAGTATCATTTCTTAGAGAAAATGACAGAGTTGCCCACTTGCATGGGAAGCTAAGAAAATTAGAATAGTTAAAAGTACTCTTGCTGCAGCAACTTTAGCAGCATCTGATCTGTTGACCTGTGTTATTATTAAGGCAGTTCATTGTCAGAGATCCTTTTCCTATCACAATAAGAGAACGTTATTCATATCACGTGCTATGTTGACAATTATTCACTCTGAAAATGTTCATTCACCAAAAAAATGTAAATGAAAAAAATAGAATATCTGCTATTCTCGAAGACTTAGTCAAGGAAGGTCTGGTTATTTTAGATAGAGTCATGCAGGCAATTATCAAACTGTTTCACAAAAAGAGCTGTAAACACTTTTTAGTTAATAAGTGTTATTGAGAAAGGAAAAGTTCTAATTTAAGAAAAGCAAGAAAGTGTAAAATAGGGCATAAGTTTTATTTCTAAAATGTGTTTACAATGTGCATTTTTTTTAAAATTCCAGTATACTGTATTACATAAATATAGATTGCATTGTATATAAAGAAAAGAGAAATATTACTAATATTGTTTGATATAATTGTGTAACACTATTTCAATTAAGAATTGTATTTTGATTTGTAATATCCTGCATAAGCAATGTGTGGGTTGCTGAGGTTTACCTGTTCATTTGGATCCCGATACTCTTATGTTTTGCAGATGCATTATGGGTAAATAAATGTTTTGGTTGAGGGGGCAGAAGAGAGGATGGCCCTGAGGCACCTGTGCTATTAGTCAGGTGGACAACTAAAGGAAAACATCAAACTGTTTTCAGACATGACCAGTTTCTATCTACCTGTCAACAGCACAGGTGATCACACAGGGTCCGTCCTTCTTGAAAGTGAACGGAAACCTGGACGAGAAGCTTGGTACGGCCTAGATGGCAGGGAACAAGATCCTGCCGCTGTTGGAGGACTCGTCGAAGCCGAAGATTCGCTCGACATGGTCGAAGGTCACACGTTTTTGCACTTTTAGGACATTCCTGTAAAAGCGTGCAATGCAAAAGCGTGCAAAACTTCAATGCAAAAGCAATGTGAATATAGATAGTTATAAATGTATAACTACATATATGAAATAAAGAAAAAGAGCGAGAGAAAGAGAAAAAAAAGGTGTGTATGTGTATGTATATGTATGTGTATGTAAGTGGGTGTGTGTGAAAGAGAGAGGGTGTGCGCGCGCGCGTGTGCGTTTATCTATATGTATATGAATATGCATGTATGTATGTGTATGTATACATATGTATATGTGTTATTATATGTATAAATGTAAGTATGCATGTATGTATATTGATGTACATATGTATGTGTGTATGTACATATATGTATGCATATATATGTATGTGTACGTATTTATATGTATGTACTCGTATGTAAATGTATGTAAGTACATGTATGTATGTATGTTAAAGTATATATGTTAATGTATGTATGTGTATGCATGTATGTATATGTATGCATATGTATGTATATGTATGTATATGTATGCATATGTATGTATATGTATGCATATGTATGTATATATATGTATGTGTGTATTACGTGTATATGTGCCTATATGTATGCATATATATGTATGTGTATGTATTTATATGTATGTACTCGTATGTATATGTATGTATGTAAGTACATGTATGTATGTATGTTAAAGTATATAATGTTAATGTATGTATGTGTGTGCATGTATGTATGTATATGTATGCATATGTATGTATGTGTGTATGTATGTATACGTATGTATGTATGTATCTGTACCTATGTCTGTCTGTATATGAATGTATGCATGTATGTAGGTATGCATATATAATAAAATATGATATATATATATATATATATATATATATATGTGTGTGTGTGTGTGTATATATACATATATGGATGGATGAATATATTTGACTATGTGAATGAAAATAGATGGACCGATTGACCTCACTCGGAGGGAGAAGGTCATGAAAGGCCACAACACGATAACCTTCTCTCCACTACTTTATGCTTCACTGGTTTCCTCAAAGAAAGACTTGTAATAGTTCTTTAGTAACTGTAAATATTTTAGGAACTCATGATATCATTATAGGATTCTTTATGACACTTTGATAGCATTTCTTTCATCGAATTAATTTTACTTGCTAGACAGCATGTGAAACAATGAGCAAAAGAAAAACGGTAATCTATCAATACATATTTCAAACGTGTGTTTCCATGTGTGTATGCATGTGCATAACTGTTTACTTGTGTTTGTAAACTCGGTTGTGAATATATCATTGTTGTTATTGTTATGGAATATAGGGGAAAAGGAGACAAAAAGAATTACACTGAAAAAAATTGCGATGAGATTCCAAATCAGCAGCAAATCGACAAGGACCCTATTGGGCCGACGCCTCACCCGCAGGACTCTCCGACCCTTCGGTGAAGTCCATGTCAGATAAGATGCAAGTCCTGTTCATGGCAAAGCCCTTGCTACGATGTCCTTGGCGTCCTCGTAGGCTCACTCGGTGCACTCCTCCAGCGCCAAGTCCTTCTACGGGTACTTCTCATCGCAGTCAGCTGCACCGCCAGGGGGACGTCGAACACACCCTGCAGCCATCTGGGAAAGGTCAGAGGTCAGAATTATTCAGGCCAAGTCACGTGGTTTGGTCATTGAAGTTGCGTTGGGAGGAGTGGGATAATATGTATCCCACTGACAATTCCCTTATCATTTCTGGCTCAAATGTACTCATTCCTCAAGGGGGATGAGCGAACTGATATGACATCATTGAAAATCAATTGGATTTGAATTTGTTACTGGGACTGCATCCACCACTTATAGCACAACCATAAGCATCAATTATCCTGCTTGTTGTAAAGAAAAGAAAACGAGCAGACTATAAATCCTATGACAAGAAAAAAAGTAAAGTCACACAAAACGAGAAAAAAACAGAGAACATATCTACAATGAAAGGAAGATAAAAGAAACACGTTCTAGCCCCACCCTCAACTGCTTGAGGACTTACCTGGTCATAATGAAGGGAACGAGGTGGCCTATGCATGGCATCGGAGGAAGGGCAACGGCCAGTGTACAGGAAGAACCTCTTGCCAGCTTCCACAATATTCAAAATTCTGAAATCAAAAGAAAATAATGAGTACATGTACTGATACCATCAATATGATATTTGAATAATAATTGTAATAATGGTAATTGTTGAAGACCGCGACGCACCCTCGCATAGACTAAGTCGAAAAAAAATGATGTTTTTCTGCATGAAATCCTATGATTTCATCGATTTTCGGCGTTGTTTCTTTTGCGAATGAATCGTTCAGGAGATCGAGTACCATTTCTCCATCGACGATCTTGATTTGATAGTCCCGTTAGCAGGGGAGGGCATGAAGTATATCAGGGAAATTATGGGGTAAAACAAGCTTAAATAAGAAGAATAACGATCAAAAATGCATAAAACTAGCACAAAAAAGCGCTTAAAATCGGCCAATGAAACTCTACGGATGTAACCGCCATCTTTGAAAGTTTACGGACTGACAGTACACTCCGTGACCTCACACGAAGAGGTCGTGTGGTGCCCTGCTCCGGTGCCCTCGCCCCTTACACATGGATCTCTGGTGTCATGTACGAGGAAATTGTTCATGAATCTTTAGGTGCGCATATACCTCGCAATTGAAACGTCATGAGAGTAGTGATGTGAACATGGCTATGTTTTAAATTCAATTGAATTCATTCCTCTGCCGAGTGCCAAGTACTGTGTTAGTGACCGTTGGAGCTGAGTGCCCCGTTGTCCCGAGCGCCATAATTCACCTGTCACGAGGCGGGCGAGCCAGGCGCGCCAGGCGCCGCGGCCACCACCCCCACGATGGGGGAAAACCGCAAAGTAAACACTGAGGGGGAAGACTCGCGGGATAGCTGTCCCACCCCTCCCCCGGCTGAAGAGTGCGCTTCAGCCTGTAATTCAGTGGACAGGACCGCTGAACCCATCGCCATGCAAGAGCACAAAATGATGTGATGCCCAGGTGGGTGACGCCGCTGCTGACCAAGGAGGTGACGGCTTCACGTTAGTGGGCCAGAAAAAGAGAAAGAAAAGAGAGCCCAATAACGCCAGCAAGACACCACTCGCACCGAGGAAAGACTACGTCCGTCTCGCCTTCCCTGAAGGCACCACGAAAAAAGAAAAGATGAAATGGCTACAGGCCCTTGGCAACCCCTCTTCGAACCTGAGGGGTAAACCCATTGACCTTGTGAGAGGGGACACGCTCTCCTCGCCATATATCTATGTCGCCCGCTCCCAGCAGAGCTATATAGAAAACCTTACCGGGGGACTTATTGGAGGTATTACCTTCAAATCATGCGATGAAAAGAAGAAATCGGAAAAATATGACGAATACCTCGTCACACATTATAACAAGGACCTTGACCTTGATAATGCATATGCACTCGATGGAGTCCACAAGGCCATTCGAGTGTACAAGGATGGCCAACCATTAAACCGAATCCGCATCGTATGGAAAGGAGAGCAACCCCCTCCAAGTACATACAATTTCTTCGGAAAATACATGCCCACCAGCCACGTGCGGCCGTGGAGGGCATCCCCCGTCATATGCTACAACTGCATGGGAAGCGGCCATGTAGCTAAGTATTGCAAGGATAAGGCACGCTGCGCAGCATGTGGCGAGCAACACAGTGCCAAGGAGTGTCCTCGCAGTGCTGCAGGGCGAGAGCCTGCTGCAGATGCACCGAACTTCGTCCCATCCTGCTTCAGGTGTGGGAAGGCAGGTGTCACTGCCTGGCACTGGGGGTGCACAGCCCTCCCTGCTCTGGCACCTCCCCCCCCTCCTCCTGTGGCCGCAGCACCGACCGCGAGTGCCCAGCGTGGCCCTCCCTGCCCTGGCCCCTCCCCCCACCCCCCCCGGCACCGGCCGCGAGTGACCAGCGCGGCCCTCCTAACCCAACCCGCGGCCAGCGTGCCGGGGGAGTGCCCAGCCGTGCCGTGTGTGACGTCACCAGCCGCAGAGACTTCCCGGGGCTGTCGGCGAGTGGGGATGCAGAGGTAGCCGAACTACGCGACACGGTTGCTTTGTTGAAGGAGCAGGTTGACAAGATGATGCTAATCATCACAGAGCTCAAGACCGCGACCCCTCCCCCCCCAGGCGCCCGCCGAGGCGGCCGTCCCTCACCCTCGGGCAGGGATGACCGCAGGCCTGGCCGGGGAATCCCCGCAAAACCATGTGGAAGAAGTGACGTCACGCCAGCTGACCATAGTGACATAAATGTGCAGGAGCTTTTAAAGGAAATCAAAGCTCTGAGACAAGAAAACAATAACTTGAGACAGGACAAGGAAAAAATGAACAGGGACTGTCATTGCCGAGATACTAGTGCTGCTATTAGTGTTAAAGAAACGAGCGAGCAGATACGATGTCATGACATCAGTGCTGATAACCAGAGTGGGCGTGTCAGCGCTGACAGCAGCGACGAACACTACCACGATCCCTGCGGCACCGAGTCAGACGAGGAGTCCAGTGACGTCACCAGCCCCCCAGGTACACCCGGCACAACAACCGAGGGGACTGTGCTAAGAAGTGGGACAAAGCTAAGACCTAATATTTGACATGGTTAAAAGTACTTTTAAGCTTAGGACAATCATCTGTAATAGAATGTACATTATTCATGAAGTTATATGTTTCTTATGTGAACTAAATTCCGTAATATCAATGGATATAAGCGCATGAAGTACAGATTACATAATAATACACTACTCACATATGGATAGACACAATTAAATTCATATCATGGAATATGCGTAGTATTAAACCTAGGCTGAGTGACCTAGAGTTTTATATTCGTAAATATAATATTGATGTGATTTGCGTGCAAGAACCTTTTGCTGCTGCTGCTAAAATGAAAATTGCACCTTCAATTAAGGGATATCATTCTTATGTGAATACAGCCATGACTGGATTGTTGACATATGTGAAGGTAACATTGCCACATAAATTAGTTAAAAAATCCGAGAACACTGATGTTCAATTTCATCATTTAAAAATTCAGACTGCCTCTGGGTATTTTTCACTATATAATATATATGCCAGATCGTCAAAATTTCTGGCTGTTTCTTTACCCAATTTTCACAACCAAGGCACGTTATGCATGGGCGACCTTAATGCAAGGCACCCACACTTTGGAGACAGCCAGCGTAATAGTAATGGGGAAGAATTCAAACATTTCATTAATAGTAGATCACTAACAGTATATGACACTAGCTCTCATTTGGGAGGTGGCAGGTTAGATTACGTATTTGGCAAAAATCTAGTTCATGGTAATATCTGTACTTCACTGGTACGAGAATTAGTTAGTGACCACTTTGCAATCCGAACTGACTATACTGTTGACAGCAACTCAGCCCCTAAAACATCTAGGCTTAGAATAATCATCCCACCGGGCCTGGAGCATCACTTCAAGGCACCTGTCTTTGATTGGTACAACACATATGAAGTAACAACAGTTGAAAATTTTCTCAGGATTTAATCAAAGTTGTCACTGACTACTATAACACATGGGTCTGTTCACGAAAACTCTCGAAGAAAAAGAGCCCCCAAGCCCATGCTCCGAGGTGGATCAATGACCCAATTCTAGCCAAGGAACATCAACGAGTTCAGGAGCTTGCCAATTGCTATAAAGATAACAAGACATCAGACAATCTTATTCAGTTTCTTAAAGCCAATAAAGAATTCAGAGAACTAAAAACTGAGATTCGAGTAAACACTGGGAACAATTTTTGCAAAGCATCAATAGTCAAACTTCCATGGCTGATGTATGGAGAAAGATTAATAGGCTGACAGGTAAAGCTCCCACAACACCGCAGTTTCACAGCCCACAAGAACAGGCTAATATGCTACTGAAGCAGTGGGCTGAAAACTCTCAGCTGAGCTCACTTCCACAAGGGATAAAAGACCATCTCGACAAGTCAAAAATAGATAGGAAATTCAATATAGCAGTAGCCTGTGCTGCTATTGACCCATCCGACTTTGCCGAAATAACCGAGTGGGAACTGAGAAATGCCCTTGTGAAAGGCAAGGCAACAGCCCCTGGCGAGGATGGCATTACTTACAGTGTTCTTCGCCTCATTGCGCAGGTGCCAGGCAACCCACTCTTACACCTGTATAGACTCAGCCTATCACAAGGAATCCTCCCAAGCTCCTGGACTAAAAGTTTAATCATCCCTATACCCAAATCCAACACTGACAAATACAGACCAATTTCCTTGACCCTGTCTGTGCAAAGTACTTGAGAGAATAATTCTGAACAGACTCATGTACCGTATACATGCTAAGTTATCCCCTAGACTGTATGGATTTCTCCCAGGACGTAGCAGTCAGCATTGTTTTGCAGAATACTTAACAAACTCAATACCAGGCATGCAAACCGTATTTCTTGATCTTCAATCTGCCTTTGATATTGCAAACAGAGAAATGATCCTTGAGCAACTAGCTAGCTTTGGTATTCAGGGAAAACTGTTAACATGGATTCAAATGTATCTATCCAATCGATCGGCTCAGGTTTTCTTCAGGGGTGTTAAGAGTACTCATGCAAAAGTGTTTGAACTCGGCACACCTCAGGGAGGCGTACTTAGTCCCATGCTATTTAACATCCTAATGCATAGATTACTAGGCGATATACCACTTGAGGGCAGTGACTCCATTATTTGCTATGCCGATGATATTTGCATTAAATCCTCATCCGAGGAGAGAATGCAACAGATCCTTGATGTGCTTTCAGCAAGGGCTACAGAGTGTGGCTTGATAATATCGACTGAAAAAACCAAGGCACTTAACCCTAAAACAATCCCTCTGCCAAGGTTTCACATCAATGACGTTGAGCTAGATCTCTGTCACCAATACAAATATCTCGGGTGGCTGTTAATGATGCAGAGTTCATACAAAACCTGAAGAAAAGGCTGTGGGAACGTCTGAAGCCACTTAGGACACTTGTCGGCAAAGACCATGGTATTAATGTCAATATTGCTAGACTCTTTTACCTGTCATACATACGGTCGGTCATAGATTATCATGCATTGCACCTAGTATTATACAGGAATCAGAGTTGGCTAGTTT